ATGGATTACTACAATATAATCCACACCTCCACAGAAGCTAGGAAATAAGGAGGACCATAAGGGAGACATACAGGGTCCCCCAGTGAAGGCAACAGGGACAAGAGCCCCTGAAAAAATTGGGAGAATAGGGAAGGGTGGGTAGGAGGAAGAGGAGGGGGGAAGAGGAGGGGATGGAGAGCATGAGGGATCAGGCAGATTGAATGGGGAGATGAATAGAGGAGAGCAAGAAAAGAGACACATCAATAGAGGGAGACATTGTAGGGTTAAAGAGAAATCTGGCACTAGGGAATTGTACAGAGATTCCCCAACTAGGAATCTAAGCAATAGTGGAGAGGCTACCTTAAATGCCCTTCCCCTATAATGAGATTGATGACTACCTTAAATGCCGTCCTAGAGCCTTCACACAGTAGCTGATGGAAGCAGAAGCAGACATCCACAACTAAGCTCTGAGCCAAACTCCTGGAATCCATTTGCAGAGAGGGAGGAGTGATGAACAAAGGGGTCAAGACCAGGCTGGGGAAACCCACAGAAACAGCTGACCTGAACAAGGGGGAACTCACAGATCCCAGTCTGATATCTCAGCAAACCAGACCTCCTGAACATGGATGTCAGCTAGGACAACTAGGCAATCTATGGGGCTTTTGACAGTGGAACTAGGATGTATCCCTAGTGCAGGAACAGACTTTGGGGGCACATTCCCCATGGAGGGATACTCCCTTAGCCTAGAGACACAGGGGAGGGCCTAGGCCCTACCCCAAATGACTTGACCTATTTTGATGATTCCCTCATGGAAAGCCTCACCTTCCCTAGGGAATGGATGGGGAATGAGAAGGGGAGTCTGTGGGGGGGGGGGTGGCAGGATAGGAGGGAGAGGGAACTGGGATTGATATGTAAAATAGGATTGTTTCTAATTTAAATGTAATAAAAAGGGGGGAAGCTACATTTTGAAATGTCTGTGAGCAGTTTAGTGGGTAATAACGACTGTGGTTTGAGAACATTCATAGAGGTAGTGAACAAGAGATCTAATTGTGAAAATCTTACACATTGATGAGATTCCCTAAAGAAAAGTAATAAAAAGAGGAAAGAAAATGATTTCTGAATTTTCTTTATAGAGGATCTGATGCTTTTTAGACAGTAGCATTTTAATCCACCACTTCTGATATCTGATCCCTGTTTTTCTCCAGATCAACAGCAATCACTAGAGATTCCAGAGATAAAAGATTGTTTAGCGCATAGCTGTTTTTCCCTAATTTTCAAGTCATACTTACAATGTGACCATTAAATATAAGTTTTCCTCTGCACTATTTCATGAAAACTTATTTAGGCTGTCTTTTTTCCTTACCTTTCCTAGACCCTTTCTGTCTTCTAAATCTATGAGTTGGTGGTATATTTTCTCAGCTACAAGCACATTTATTCACAGGATGTTTTCAGTCTATTTCAATCTGGACATATGTTACTGAGATAATTTCAACTTGGTGATCACATGCCCCTGATTAATACATCAAAAACAGTTTTCTTTAATCAATGCATTGTATGAAATTTTTAACATATTTAAATATAATTAGTCTCTGAATGTCATCTCCGATGCAATCTTCAATTTTTTGTTCAAGGTTATATTTTTGTTAATGAAATGAGTTGAAATTTAGCTTTAATTTTATGTTCTCTGAATGTGCATGGATGCTCAGAATTACATTGTGAATTTTTTAATGAACTCTTTTTAAGACCTCTAGCACTTGCCTCAGTAATTTTTTTCCTAGAAGTAAATGTAAGAAAAAAAGTTAAGATGGGAAGCAGGTACCAAAATATTAGTGACAGCAGCTGACTTTATAGGCTGACTTTCCCACAAGTAGGCTTTATATTGGGACAACTTGATTTTGATTTTCTTATCATTGTATTTTTTAATTAAAAACAGGTGTTGAGGGGTGGAAATCTGAGGTTGTGCAGCTGAAACTGTAAACACGTGTTTCCACACAGGGACACACTCACATTTACACAATACATTACAACACACCAAAGTAACATTAACACATTCTGGTCCTTTATTTGACAAGTTCATCTTTGAGGACAAAATACTGGAGTAAAATTAGTTTCTAAATGAGTGAGTGACCCCTGGTCTTTTGGGAAACTTATCTTTATAAAAAAGAATTATGCCATCTGTGAAATATGCTTTCTGTTAGTTGAATCTTAATGTAATCTATATTCAGAAATATGAAACTATTAATCTACAGAACCTTTTATTCTCTCTGCCTCCTGTTAGTGTTTTTATCTTTGTTTTCTGATGATCTGAATAATCTCTTCTATTGCTCACAACATGCATTTATAGTACTTTATTTTGGATATAAGTAAAATATAAGGTATTTTTAATTACAAGTCAGTGTGTTCAAACACTAACGCAGTAAATCATTTATTGAATGCTTGCTGTTACTCATTTGGAATAAGAAGAAAAAGCTTGCTGGAGTGTTTCCATTATGTCGTATTTGATATAGTTGCAAATAGGATTTTTACAATATTTCATTCCCTGCCACTTTATTAATGTGGCTTAATTTTAAAATGCATAAATTATAATCATTGGAAGATCACCATCATCATAATTCTTAAGGGTTAGTTGAAGGGGACACTGAGAAGGCTGAAGGTAAAAAAATGTATCATTTGGGTATTTGGGAAAGCCAACATAGTACTTAAGCAAAGTATACATGACAAGTGATGGCAAGAAAAAATGAAAACCACCAGGGAAATGTGATTTCCCGCAATTCCTAATAGATCATAATTGCTATTAGTTTTCTATAGTTCTATAGTGATCTCAACCCTACATAATATAACTGAATTGCTATGCTTTCTTCATCACAGTTCTGTGTATCATCTTGCCCTGGTACCAGAAAGGATGAGTCTTAGTTTTCTTCTTGCTTCCCTTTCGTATCAGAAGCTAAAGAGGGCAAATGCACGTGCAGCTCAGAGTCTGAAAAACCACATATGGGTGGGACACACATGACAGAGTCTGGCTCCTTGGGGACCATCATTTTAACAATTTATTACAAAAGCTGACAGCTTTATCCATTTCCTTTTATTAAAAAAAATGTCTGCTACTTCTTAAACTCCTGCTGAGATACAAAATGAATTATACTGATTTGAAAACTTCGTACATCAGCCTTAATATTTTTATGACATTTTAATGAAACTACAATGCTTTCATCTTCAATGCTATAAAAAGCCTCCCATCTGAAATGTTGTAATCTCAGCTATAAAAGAACTTAAAGCACTATTAAGCAGAGTTTTAACATGTGTCAAAATAAGAAATATTGAGATGAATCCTTGGGAGAGAGTTCTTAAATAATATACTCATCTCGGTGGCTTTATTAAAATAAATGTCAAGCGAAATATTTGAAAGAAAATCAACACAGTTGCGGCTCCTTTCTTGTCAACAGACTATTTCACTACATGTGATCGATCTATGGGAAGCACATTATTGATGACGGGGTAAAGAAAGGTTAGAAGGGTAGATGTATCCTCTGAGTGTGAGTTAACTCACATTCAAAATGATGAGTTGTTTTTAATACTCCATGCAGCAGTTGCCCTAAAGTTTAGATGTAGTACTATTCAATAGATAGCTAAAATTTTTTCAAGTGCATTTCTCGCCTCACCATTGAGCATGTCCGGTGGAACAGAGACAGCCACTCAGCAGGAAAGGAGAGCATTATTACTCTGAATACAAATTTGCACATCTGAGCTTTTAAAGTCTTAAAGGTCTTAACATCTTACTTGAACACTTTGCTTCCCGTTCATGTCATTAATGCTACCTGAATATGACCTTTTCAATTATTAATAATAGTTAATTATTATTTAAATTAAATTACTTTTAATAATAGTTTAAAACATGAATATTTACTTCAAACAGGATTCTGGAAAAACACTTAATGAAGTACTTCACAGACACTTTTCCATTTCACTTGCAAAGACTTCTACAATAGAATTACACTCACATTTTTTTTTTAAAGCTTTGTGAGTCCTATGCCACCAATTCAAACCAACTCAATCAGAACCCTACAAAGTGCAATTATATACAGATGGAGGAAAGAGTCAGTGTATTGGGTTGTTCTATATACATTTTCGGAAAACCATCTGATGATGTCCCTTGTGATACAGACAGGGTAAGGCAGAGCTAACGCTGTATCGCCAACCTCATCATTTCCTTACAATTTAAAATTAATGTGCAATATTTGTTTCTGTATAATAAACCAACAAGTTAGATGTGAATACAGGCAGACATACTGTGTACAAAATAACTTGTAGCAAGTTGCTAAAAGAACTTACATTTTTTTTAATGCGCTTTTAAGCTATGACTGTTGAGTTAAAATAAAATGTAGAACATGTCTGTTATGCTTAGGGAGTAAAGGACATGAATTACTGATCAGATACAACATTGTTCCTTTGTCCCACAGAAGCATTTAGGAAAATAATTATCTTATTTTTCAATTACCTAATGATGCAAAGCCTGATCTCTCTAGACCAGGTAAGCTTCCATTTTAAAAATGTTGTCTCTAAAATACTAAAACAGAAATTTACTTTTTTCTTGAATTATTTTAAGGTTCATAACCCAAATTAAAGGTTGCATATTACTGTATTATACTACAGTTATACTATAGGTTAAAGTAATTTAAAGCATTATATACAGTAGAGAATTGGCTATGGGTAAACATAAAGACAGAGAGGACGTCTCAAAACTTACAGCATCTTTTGTAAAACCAAATAAACTTAGAAATGTTTATGATAAAATCAAGTGACAAAGTCAGCAAGTTAAATGACAAAGGTAAAGATTCATCTCAAAGTTAGATTCATCATTGCAGGTTAGAAATTCTTGTATTTCAAATAGATGGCTAAGAGAATCCCTTCCTTCCTACAGAAACATGAACTAATGAAGTACCACTATCTTTACAAATGTAAACAATAAATTGCAAACAGAGTCTGGAGGAATTCAAAGGCTGCCATTGAAGACCAAAACTTACCTGCAAATTTGATGTGAAATTTATTTTCAGGTTTTAGTATCTGGACATACAAAGGACAATTTGGAGCAAAATCTTTCACAGCCCATGCTCTCAAAATTGTTTGGTGATCCTGAAATGATAAGACATCCAAAATAGCCTGAGAATAACTTTAACAACAGAAGTATTAAATTGATAATACAGAAATTAAAATAGCAAGGCAATTAATTCATTTGTCAGATAGTCAAATCTATAGTCAACACTTGAACATTAAAAAAAACTATTTGATGTCGTTTTGATTTTGATGTTTTGAATCAGTGTCTTCTATATTCCAAGCTATATTCATATTTACTATGCAAATGGGTATGGCTTGGGTCTTCAGATGTCCTTGCTTCCATCTCAGAAGAATATGTATTATTTACATAAAGGGTCTAATTCCTAATTCAATCAGAGATAGTATGAGTTGGGCATTAGAGACTGAGAACGGTAGATGAACAATATTAAGCATAATCGGAATTATAAAAGAATGGATACAGCATTCATCACAATGACAATCTCCACAGAAACAACAGGGATCCCTAACATCAATTTATTTGAAACCCTGAAGACAAAAAAAGCAACTATAGTGAAAACCCTAGCAGAAAACCTATTAGACTCTTAATGTAACAGTAAAAGGAATGATACTTTTTCTGTTCTTATGTTCACCAGTGTATATGTACATATGTGTGTGTACAGTGATAAAAAAAAAAACACTCGGAATAAAAAGTATTGAGAAAGTTAGGATGCTAAGAAAATCAATGTGAAATCTTGCATATTGGCAATAGTACAAATAGTTATTACATTAAAAAAAGAATATAGGGCAGATTGTTAAAAAATAGGATATATAATTACCAGTTAGGTTCAAGAAATTGATGTTTTGGGTTATCATTGTCATTTAGTAGTCAATAGCTTTATATGGGTGGTCAAGTTTATTAGGCACCCATCAAGTATTTAGAGCCTCATATGACCAGTTGCTGCCTTAATGGACAGTGGAAATGTAGAAAATTCTATTCAACAATATGGTTAGTCCAAAGAAGAAGATAGAAACAACCTCTCCCTTCAATGTCTGTTACAAGTAGACATATTGGGTTCAATATGGAAATACATAAAGAAAAACCTTTTGTCAATACATGGCAACTGGTATATACTTTTAGTTTATTTTACTATTTTTGTAAATAGTCATACTGCTGTCTTAATTCTCTGAGGTTATCAGGATATGGGGACTTGGGAAATGTTTAAAGTCCCTCCCAAGGATAATATTCTTATAAGGAAAAGGACCAGTGTTATTATAAGAGAAAACCTTTTCAAGGGCTCCTAGGATACTTCAGCCACCCTGTTCTTTCATAAGAACACAACTGTTAGGAACCAAAAATACACTTTTAGCCAGATAGTGGACCTGCTCGCACCCTGACCTCTGACTTCCTTAATCTGATAACTTATCAATTGCATGTGTTATTTTGCTCTGCAACCGCAGCGGCTTGAAGAAGACAGTGAGTTCCAACACATTTCTGCCACACAGCATTGCTATGAAGAAAACGCATCCTACATACAAAAGATCTTATAGAAGCCAAGAGCAAATGTCGAACAAACAAAACTATTTTCCATATAATTTCATACTTTCAGTAGCAGAAATAATAAAAAATTAGGATAAAACATAAATAACAAAGCTGTCATTCTTAGCCATAGAATTAACAATTTGCATGCTATCATCACCTAAGTGAGTGTGGGCTCCTAAGCCAGATAAGGGACAATAGAGCATTGCTCATATCCCAGACACCTCTCAGTATACAGACAGCATAGCAGGAGTGAACCACTCACTATCCCATCAGGCTTGGGCCTATTCAACTCCATAGAGACAAAGGCAATACCATGATGAAGTCAGACAAGCTCCTATATCCCCGCCCCTACCTACCCCACCCCCAAGTCTCAGACTTACGTGACTGTAAATCCGCTAATATGGTTCATATGCTTGGAGAGCTCCTGCTGCTGGAGTGTTTCCTCCCTTGACACACGCTATCTCCCAAACTCCCCACTCCCCAGGTCCTGCCTGCCTCTAGGTATATAAGCCATCCCAATAAACACTCATTCCTGCCATACTCACCATCGCAGGAGTCCCTGCAGCCCAGATCCTCCACACCCTGAGACCACTGGTGCACAATGGCTATTGGGGTCAAGGGCCCACAAGTAATGAATATACTTTGTGTTTAGTGCAAGAAGCGATATGAGTTACGTCAAGGTCTATCAATGTAGATGAGTAAATTCCTTAAGAGTTGTCCTTCTTGCTGGTGGAATAACAAACTCTGGTTTAAGATATAAAAAGTGAGTATGTAATGGATTTTTTTTTTAATGACTAGGAGTAGATGAATTTTGGAGAGGACTGGAAGAAATAACCAGCATTCCATAATATCCCCTGTCTTGATGCTCTGGCCTGAGGGCATCTCTGATTGTCTATTTCCTCAGCAAAGGCTGCCAGAACTCTCTAATGAGCCTACAGAAAAGATTTAGGAGGAGCCCAGAACCATCTGTCACACTATGGCGTAGGGAAAGAGAGGAAGAGAAAAAATCATAAAGTCTCACATAAATTCACACGTATTTGTCTGACCTATGGACCATGGAAAGAGAGGCTGAATAAACATAATTCAAAATAATGTTCAAGCCATTTCCAGCAACAAGGGTGAAAAAGTTTGTACTTACAGCTACACTAAATTTTCTATCAAAATAATAATGTAACCACTCCTTGCATATAAGAATGTTCCCCCTCTTCCTCCCTTCTCTTTCCTTCCTCCTTCCCCATCTAAGTGCCAACCTATGAATCTATATTCAATTTCTCTATAATTTAGAAATTTAAAAAAATCTCCTTGAAAGAATGCAAACAAATGAAAAGCTCCACTTTAGTTTATTAAGAATGAGGAAAACTGACCATTTTTTTTTGAGAAAACAAACAAAAATAATTATCTTAATGAGTTAGCTCTAAATGGTGTCCATGTTTGGATCCTTAGACATAGACAAACAGCCACCGAGAGAAACACGGTCAGCTGGGTAATGGAAGGAAATGCTTGAGAAAAATGAAAGAGAGCATAACAAGGTACTCTAAAATGAAATAAAAGAAACTACATCCTTGGAAGATATTCAGCGAAGGGGCAGTGAAGTGTGCATATGGAAGGGGGCCATGAATCCAATCCCAGACCATTAACACCATAACATGAAGAGAAAGGGGAGGCGTTCAGACCCCGATGAAACAGTGTAAAACGTGTAATAATTGTGTGAACAGACATTGTATGGACATAGTGCTGCATACACCTAGAGATCGTTGGATTCCCAAGAGGAAAACAAAGCTGAGCAAGGCAGAGCAGGAAGCATTAAATAAAATCTGAGCATGGTCAGTGTTAGGGGTGGTTGCATGCCCCAAGAACTCAGAACAGCTGCAAATGGTCGGTGTTAGGGGTGGTTGCATGTTCTAAGAGCCAGGAACAGCTGTGCATGATCAGTGTTAGCGGTGGCTGTGTGTTCTAAGAGCTCAGAACAGCTGCAAATGATCGGTGTTAGGGGTGGTTGAGTGTTCTAAGAGCTCAGAACAGCTGCAAACGGTCGGCATTAGTGGTGGTTGTGTGTTCTAAGAGCTTAGGGAATTCTGAGCACTCTGACAACGTAAGACCTCATCATGGAACTAGACAAAGTGAGAAATGTCCTAGTGTTCAGAAAGAAACCAAACCCCCAAATCCTGTAGAGCAAGGGATATATCTAGCAAAAGTTCTTTCTAAGGAGAAGGTGAAGAAATTTTACGAGCATAAATAGTAAGAATAATATAGCAACCAGCACCAAAAGAAAAATGAGGTAAGTCATTTATGCTTTAACAAAATAACACGAGGAAAATTAGAGTTTTGGCAATCAAAGAATAATAACGGAAACGGATCTTGTCCATGCAATAAAAAAAATGACCGAAGAACATTTTCCTGTGAATTTCTTAAAATACATGTATCTCCATAATGGGAAGTTTATGGATTGTTTTGTAGTATTTCTAATTTATACAAACACTACCAAACCTTACAGCTGTGTCACAAGGGACATTAGTAAGGAATGAGTCAGCTTAGAACCTTAACAAGTGATACAATGCCAGCAAATAATTAACTGTGAAATTTAAACATTCAGATTGTCTGCCTTACAGATATCACTAAAAATTCAAAGTCAAACATCTCTAAGAAAATCAAACCTAAGTTGGAAAAATTGAAAACAGAGAGACTGAAATCAGAGGAGGGTAAGATAGTAAAATTTAGATTGACCTAAAGCTCACGTTATTAACAAAGACATGAGAAAGTGTTGGATTAGTGGGTAGAGGTGGGTCAGTCATTAAGATCACTCGCTGATGTTCCAGATGACTGGAGTTCAGTTTTCAACACCCACATCATGTGTCTCACGGCACCCAATAACTCCACTTTGAGGAGATACCTCGCCTTTATTGAGCACCAGCATACAGATGTTCATATTCACACACACACACACACACACACACACACACACACACACACACACAAATGCATACACACATGTGCACTCACGCACACACACACACCTACACATAAGCGAAAATAACTATCAATACTAAAATGTTATATAAAGTGGTATGGGTTAAACATATTAAAACACTGTGATTTTTTTCAGAAGAGAAAAGTGACATTTACCTGGGGACTTTGAGAATCCACATATCCTATATTAAAGTGAGAGGTAGGGTATAAACTGGAAGGTGGTCAGAAAACAAATAATGCATGCCAGTGGCCCTGTATGAGGAGCAGCAGGTGGTAAGTGAATTTATTAAAGGTGTCAGCTCCCCCCTCCACCTCCACCACTGGGAGAATTCTTGCTAGGTGAATCTCACAAGAAGACTATAGAAAGTTTTAGAGAGACATGCAGTTGACTGAGGAACACTTTAAAGTCAGATAACAAAACAGCCCAATTATTTCTAGCTCACTCCTCTCCCCGCCTTTTTCTTTCTAGGATTGGTTGATGACCAAAGATGATGATGAAGTCTATATACCCATTTCAGACCTCAGTCTCCCAATATAAAAAAAAAAATATTGGCTATTGATGAATAGTTAT